TGTCGGTCACTCTGGTTCTACTGCGGATATCCTCATTTTTAAGTTTATCACGCAGAGAAACTCTGAGCGTAGACCTCTCAATAGGTCGCTGAGCGACCTTGAGCTTCCTCATCCAGCCAGCAGTGAAGGACCACGTCTTAGTTCCATATGTCATCACTGGCAACACGCACTGATTGTACAGTCTCGTTTTCAAGTTTTGAGGTATACCTGACGAGAAGATGTACCGTAATTTCCCGAACGCAGCCCAAGCGAGTTGAATCCGTCGATTGACCTCTCGGTGGAAGTTGGACTTACCTAGTTGAACTATTTGTTCCAGGTAAACATACTCATCAACAACTTCGAGCTTAGTCTTATCCGACATTATTCCGATGATATCCCGGACGTCAGTCTGAGCGAGATTAGAATGGCTCTCCAGCACCTTAAAAACGGAAAGGCCCCAGGCGAGGATGGAATTACATCGGAGCTTCAGAAAGCGGGTGGAAAATCGGTACTTGAAGTCCTTCAGAAGCTCTTTAATTCCGTCTTCCATGGTGGCATTACACCGCAGGCGTGGAGCAGAAGTGCGGTAGTCTTGTTCTTCAAGAAAGGCGACAACGCTCTCTTGAAGAACTACAGACCGATTTCCCTTCTGAGCCGCGTCTACGTGCTGTTTTCGAGAGTCATTACGAATCGTCTCGCGCGCAGACTTGACGACTTCCAGCCTCCCGAACAAGCCGGTTTCCGAAAAGGCTTTAGCACCATAGACCACATACATACCCTTTGGCAAATTGTACAGAAGTCCGAGGAGTACAATTTGTTACTATGTCTGGCGTATGTGGACTTTGAGAAAACCCTTGATTCCATCGAAATTTGGGTGGTGCTGCAGTCCCTTAAGCGGTGCCAAGTTGACTGTCGGTATATCGAAGTGTTGAAGTGCTTGTACAGTAGGGCTGCGACGGCTATCCGAGTACAGAACCAGAGTACGAAATCTATCCAATTGCAGAGAGGTGTAAGACGTCATATCCCCGAAACTATTCACAGCTGCATTGGAAGATGTTTTCAAGCTTCTGGATTGGAAAGGATGCGATATCAACATCAATGGCGAGTACATCACTCACCTTCGATTTACCGACGATATAGTCCTTATGGCAGAATCAATCTAGTAGCTAGGACTCTACACCAGGAGCTCGCTCTCGGTCTCGTGGATCGGAAACTGTCTCACTATAAGTACTTGCCGGAAGCGGTGCTCGAAAATGACCGCGCCAGGCTCTACTGCGACCGGGCCATCATCACAGACATAACCATTTTTACGTATAAGCCTGATATTGTGCTGATGGACCGGGCACAGTCAAGGGTATTTTTGGTCGACATTACCACTCCGTATAACGAGAATGTCGTGAAAGCCGAAATAGATAAGCGAATAAAATATCTGGACCTGGCTCACGAGGTGAATGACATGTCGGTGGACTGTCGACCGAAATTATACCTGTAGTCCTTTCTGCGAACACGTCATTCCCAGTCAGCCTCTCGGGTCTCCGTGACGGACCGCTCCAGGATCAAATGCAGAAGGCGGTGCTTCTCGATACCGCTCGCATCGTCCGCCGATTTATTTCCCTTCCCCCATAACCCTTGGCTGTTTGGTCTCCTCTGCCGAGGGCTTCCATCTGGTTCGAGTTTTATATATTTATGTATTTATTTTATTTTATTGATATTTATGTATGTTTATCATTTTCATTTACAACTATATATTTATACAGCCCAACCGGATGAGAATACCTTATAGATACACCATAACGTATTTATTCATTAACCAAAAGTCCAAAAGTAACAAAACAATTAAAAGTTAAATTAATACAAAAATAAATTAAGTCTCTGACTCAGCATGTGTTGCAGACAATCTACAACGCTGTTTTTCTGTTAGCACCCGTATACTAACTTACTAATTAATTTTCTACAGACTTCAGATAGGAGACGGTACTCAATTTGATTGTAGGTTTTTTATGTGTGTTACCTCATTTTTTTCTGGGTGAACCGATTTCAATGATTCTTTTTTATTTGAAAGCTGGTGCTTCTCATGTGGACCTATATAAATTTGATCAAGGTCTAACTAATAGATTTTGAGTTATTCTTAAAAATTTATATTGAAGTAGGTTGTATAAAAATTTTAAATTATTAACACTTTCAATATTTTTAAAGACACACTTTTTTGTCTACGTGGTAGAGCCACGCGGCAGCTTTTGCTGTCGCACGGATGGGCTGGCTCGAACCGGGGTGGTACCACGACATCACAGAATACCAGCGTGAGGTAGAGGTTTACCTCTGCGTTTCACTTGGTGAGTGCAGGTGGCCGGAGGCCCTTTTTACTGGAAATGAGGCATTCCATCTTAGTCCTCACGGGTGACAACGCATCTGCATTTTGATTTGTAATAGAGGATATATGTAGATGTCTATGGGCCGCAGCAACCACTTACCATCAGGTGGACTGTGTGCTTGTTTGTCATCCTTATCCTATAAAAAAAAACACAAGAAAACAAGTATATATTAGATGTGGTAGAGTCACGGTGTAGCTACATTATAGATGTACCACGAATTGGTCGGCTCGACCGGGGTAGGACCACGCTCTCACAGAATACCAGCGTGAAATAGCAGTTTAATGCTGCTGTGTTTCATATGGTGAGTGTATAGAACCGAAGACCCTTTTTTACTGGAAAAGAGGCGTTCCATCTTAGTCCTCACGGGTGACAACGCATCTACATTTTGAATCGCAAACGAGGATAGATGTAGATGTCTTTGGACCGCAGCAGCCACTTACCATCAAGTGGACTGTGTGATTGCTTGTCACCATTATCATATAAAAATATAACCTACTTAATAAAAAAAAAGAATCATCAAAATTGGTTCACAATCTGCGAAGATACCGCGTAATACACATACAACAAAAAACGACATACATTCGAATTGAGAACCTCCTCCTTTTTGTAATAAAATAAGCAAATAAAAGAAAAATGTTGTACAGGTAATTTGATAAACATAGGTGTTTCTCATATTGTTATATTTCACAACATAACAATCACATCAAGCGTGCACAATCGCATTCGTCCGCTCCATTATACGGTACATTTTGCGGGCAGTGTTACTATATGGTATCGTGTTCTGGATTGACGGAGCGAACATCCCCGTGTGCGGCGCGCGGAACAATGGTCCTTATGGAACATTAGTTCTTTTATATCGTAGACAAAAGTACATTGTCTTCATTATCTCAGACATTTCTTCTTTTGCACTGACATCTCTTTACCTTCATCATTAGCATTACGATAAATAATGATTTTTATCGCTTCAGCGCCCCAACTAATTACTACCGCACGTTTAAGTAGAGCCACTCTGCAGCTATATTATGGTTGTAGCGCGAACGGGTAGTCAACTCGACCGGGGAAGGACCACGGTCTCACAGAATAACAGCGTTAAATAGCAGTTTAACGCTGCTGTGTTTCGTATAGTGAGTGTATAGAACCGGAGACATCTTTTTACTGAAAACGAGGGATTCCATCTTAGTCCTCAGGCGTGATAACGCATCTGCATTTTGATTCTTAACCGAGGATAGATGTAGATGTGTATGGGCCGCAGCATCCCTTTACTATCAGGTGGACTGTGTGCTCGTTTGTCAACCTTGTTCTATAAAAAGCATCTATATAAGGCAGCATATATCCTAATGACTAAAAATAAAAAAACTGCGGTTGCCAACCCGCTTGCCAAGCGTGCCAACTGTCGCAAGTATCCCTATGAGGCAATCTATGCGGGAGGCCTTTGTTTAGTAGTGGACTTTAATAGGCTGTGACAGTATGAGCAATTACAAATCGCCTGGTGTTGCAGTGTACAGGCGTGCGGACGCTTACCATCAGTTGAGCCGCATGCTCGTTTGTTCCCTCCAATAAAAAAAAAATGGACTTGATTTTATTTATATTAGTAAGGGTTACAAACCCGCACGTTAGTGAAATTTAAGGGAGGATCTAGCTGCGATAGCTTGTGTGTATTTTTTATTTTATATGGATGGTTTTAGAAACGATTAAATTTTATGTAGTCTACATTGAATAAAATTATTGTATTCTATGCTATTCTTTTCCTTTATATTTTCTTTTAACAACAGTCAAGTCATTTACAACGCCAGTAACTATTACCATAATTTATTTGTATCTGTGAAGCCTATCTCGTTGAACACAATTTATTTTATCTACACGTTATGCTTTACCGCGAGGATCCTGATATTTTTTTCTAAGCAATATAATCCAGTGGAGAGCTATTCCATTTCGGTAGCTATAAACCGCGCCGCCATTTTCTCGCTCGAGTCGAAAATCAACATGGAGGACAATACGCGTAACAAGATGGCCGTGAGAAATTGCGCGGGAATCGTACCTTAGTGTTGCAGCGCATAAAAAATAACGAGCGTTCGTTTTTTATGTGGCAATTACCGTTCGTTTTTTTCGTCGCCAATTACCGTTTAGGGCGCTGTTTAGCATTTCTGGCTGTAGAAAAATATAATAACCTTGTCTTGGGCTTATCGCGTCGACGATTGACGTGATATATGCGATCTGGTTATGTTTGCAGCAATTGGGCGAGAGTGTTTGGATTATTTTATATTACACTTTATTTTTAATGTTATTTTTAAATTGTTTAAGCTAAATATTATTTTTATTTTTTTGTGTGTTCAAAAAGAATGTTTTTTTAAAGTTCTTTATTTAAAATTTTCCTATGTCTCATAGTTAATCAAAGCAACCTTGTCACCTTGACAAATAGATAGTAAAAAAAAAAACGCAGTTATCCATGACCATGAGTGATGTTTTGGTCATTTTTACTTGCTCATTGCAAAAGATAAAGCGAAGACTCTCCTGATTTGTTTCCCTCTTGATAATATGGAGTAGTGGATATTTTTACACCGAGACTACAAGGTCAAACACACACATTCACATTACGTAACATAGTAATCACAACAGACATATCATATCAATTTAATTAATGAGACCTACCTGTGGCCCAACATCAGTGATCTGTAGGTTGTACCCGTCCACGAGTCGGAACCTCTCGTCCCTTGTGACCATCAGGCTAGCGGCTGTGAGGACAGCTGGCCCCCTCCTCCACAGCAGCACCAGGGACCCTGCACAAAGAAACAAATATAAATAATACTTCATGTTTTAAACACGCCCGTAAAATAAAACTATTTTTTTTCGAACTTTATCGCGTTTAATTTTAATTACCAGCATTTCATGACTGCCGTCAATCCTTTTTAAAGATGTATTCATGTATCAAGCGTTGGTAATATTAATAAAAAGAATTGTGAAAATACTATTGTTAAGCTAATTCAGAATTTACCATCTTGGGCTGCATCACCACTTATCATCAGGTGGTATAGTAGTCAAGCATTGCCTTATAATAGATAAAAAAGTTCGTAAAGAGAGACAAACAATAGCGGTGACATCACCCGCATTATAAATGACGGTTTAATCCTCACACACCATTCACAACTCACCCAAGTTCTGCACCTGGCAGGGCAGGAGCAGAGTATCGCCGACCACCGTCCTGAAGGAGTGGCCTCTCGACAGGAACCTTGGCCCGTCATCTGTAAGAGATTGAAAAGAGTAAATAAAGTTACATAAGCAATCAAATCGTGTAGTGACAGTGTAAGATGAAGTTGAAAGCGTGGTTGCTGGATAATTAAACGTGTAATAGCTCCGTGGCACAGTGGCCTAGCAATGAGTTGCTGCGCTGGGGGCCGCGGGTTCGAATCCCGCACGGAGCAAGTATTTGTATGGCCAACACATAAATGTTACGGGTCTGGATGTTTGTCCTTGTGCAATTTGTGTTTGTAAACTGCCTCCACGATACAGGAGAAAATCCCAGTGTGGGGGTAACGTTTTAAAAAAATAGTTATACTATTTAAATTAAAAATAATAGTCTTAATTAATATTTATATGTGTAATTATTAATAAGTTTAATTATTTATAAGTTTAAATATAATTAAGTATATGATTATAAAATTTAAATCCAAGAATTAATTATATATTAATTACAGTGGGTATATAGAATGTAAGTGAGTAATGTATTTGCCAACAAACGGCCCTGCAGTTTGGCGAAAGTAATATAAGAAACAACCGACTGTATTCTGTGTAATAAATATTTAAAAAAAGAATATCCATTTTTTTAAACTGGCTTTACGGCGCTGGGTTCTAGCCCTTCTGAGCAATATCCATTTCCCAATATCGTCGAATGGGTGTAGTCAGAGACGAAACAGGGAAACTCAACAAAATAGTGTGGATACCACTATTTTTCTCGGTATTACTATTGACGCGAAACTTCAATGGGGCCCCCATAAATCTAAATTAGCAAGCAGACTTAGTTCCGCAGCATATGCTGTAAGAAAGATTAGAAGTCTCACAGATGTTGAGACAGCTAGATTAGTGTATTTTAGTTACTTTCATAGCGTAATGTCTTATGGAATTTTGCTATGGGGTAATGCGACTGATATTGAAGCTATATTTGTTTTGCAAAAGAGAGCCGTTCGGGCGATTTATAACCTAAATTGTAAAGAGTCCCTCAAACAAAAATTTAAAGAAATAAACATATTAACTTTGGCATCGCAAAATATTTATGAAAATGTAATGTATGTACATAAAAACATAAATAGCTTTAACAAGAATAAGGATGTGCATACTTTAAACACTAGGAACAAACATAAGCTTGTAATACCAGTTACTAGATTCCACAGAATCAGTAATTCATTTATGGGGCAATGTATACGCTTTTACAACAATATCCCTGAACATATTCAAAGGTTGTCAATAAGCAAGTTTAAAAGTTTTATTAAAGAAAAACTGTACAAAAAGGGTTATTATAATATCAAGGAATACATGAATGAAAATAACCCCTAGGAATAAGGTGATCGCAAGCATGCTGGTTCTATGAAAAATCATTTAAAAATTGTATAAACGAAATTATGTTTGAAAAAAAGTCCCGCTGGGTTTCTTGCTGGTTCTTCCCAGGACTGGGGTATTTTCCGAACCAGTGGTAGATAAAAAATGACTTTCAGTAAGAATAATGTAATAATCGATATTGAATAAAAATTATTCTATTCTATTCTATTCAAACAGGATCAGTAGCATCGTCCCGATGACAACTCAAATTAATAAAAAATGCGGTTGGCGACCTCTCAAACGTGGCAACTATAGCAAAAGCTCACATAAGAGGCAATCTATGGGGGAGGCCCAGTTCAGCAGTGGGTTTTATAAGCTGTAATGGATGTATGTATAGAAGACAATCTACCAGGAGCACATGACCCACTGAGAGGTGATATTATTAAATCAACAGTAACATTACAACTATGAAGAAATATCCCCTAAGAGGCAATTTATGGGGGAAGCCTATGTACAGCAGTGGAATTTTATAGGCTGTAATGGAAGGGAACGCAGGAAATCCTACTAGCAGACACAGCTATGCAGTATTTGCTATGAAAACATTTTAAACAGCTGGATTAGGGTTCAACCGATTTCAAAAAAGGAGGAGGTTCTCAATTTGCCTGTATTTTTTATGTATTTTACCTCAGAACTTTTTTATAGGTGAAACCGATTTTGATGATTTTTTTTATTTGAAAGCTGGTGCTTCTCATGTGGTACCATACAAAGTTGTGATCAAAGTCTGACCAGTAGTTTTTGACTTATCCTTAATAATGCGACTTCGATTTGATTAGTGATGTTCTCATGTTATTTATGTTGAAATAGGTTATACAAAATTTTTCATTTTACTACTTGTTTAAGTAGAGACTTTTCTACCATCCATCTATGACAACTTATCAAAATACACTGCTGAACATAGGCCTCCCCCATAGATTGCCTTATAGGGGAAATTTTGTCATAGTTGTAATGTTACTATTAATTTAATAATTTCACCTCTCAGTGGGTCATGTGCTCCTGGTAGATTATCTTCTATACATACGAGTACATTCATTACAGCCTAGTAACCACGTTTAATAGGCGGGTTGGCCACCGCAGATTTATACTTTTAGTCGTTATTAGGAAAACGCCTCCTGGTTTGTTTCCCCCTGATGCCTCTTACACTCGCAGGATATAATGGGGTAGTAGATATTTTAACAGTGCTACTATATAGCTATTTAACAATATATATAATTATGTATTTTATATTAAATTTTTATATTTATTTAAAAACTATAATAATTAAAAAAAACTAAAACTATATTCTTAATTATCATATAGTCCTACTCCCCGCGGTATCGTGCCAAGAACGCTGGCCGAGTTTCCCCGCCGAATGTCTATACTTAGCCTTTGAGCGAGAAAAGAACCAGCCCTCTTATCACCAGTATATTATTGTTAATATTAAAAATATTAAAATATTTCCAAAAATTGCTTCCGAGTTAATTACCCGCGTAGGGTAATAAATAACAAGACTGCCACCCTCATACCACTTTTGTCGGATACACCCGACTCAGTGTTGCCATCTCAGCGAAAAAAATTAAGTGAAACTCGGCAATATTGTTCTGCTCTGCGAAGTACCTTGTTATATTTTTGAAGTTAAACTTATTTAGGAGCGATATTAACTTGTACCTTTTTTTGATGAAAATGACCTTCCGTTAACACATTTATAGGCAGCGAATGACTGATATACATGTACTAGCCTTTTCCCGCGGCGTTTATTGCGTGGTTTGCATTACAAACATCAATGGTGTTCCGTACCAAAAATCGAGATCATCATATGGTTATTATATGGTTGTAGCACGAATGCGTCGGGTAGATCGGGTTGGGATCACGCTCTCACGGAATACGAGCGTAAAATAGCAGCTTACATTTAGCAACATTACAACTATGAAGAAATTTCACCTATGAGGCAATCTATGGGGGAGGCCTATGTTCGGCAGTGGACTTTATAGGTTGTGATGGATTGATGTACAGAAGATAATCTACCAGGAGCACACAAACTACTGAGAGGTGAAATTATTAAATCAACAGTAACATTACAACTAAGGCAAATACTTCCCTATGAGGCAATCTATGGGGGAGGCCTATGTTCGGCAGTGGACTTTATAGGTTGTGATGGATGGATGTAAAGAAGGTAATCTACCAGGAGTACATGAACCACTGAGAGGTGAAATTATTAAATCAACAGTAACATTACAACTAAGGCAAAAATCTTCCATATGAGGCAATCTATGGGGGAGGCCTATGTTCGGCAGTGGACTTTATAGGTTGTGATGGATGGATGTAAAGAAGGTAATCTACCAGGAGTACATGAACCACTGAGAGGTGAAATTATTAAATCAACAGTAACATTACAACTAAGGCAAAACTTTACCCTATGAGGCAATCTATGGGGAGGCCTATGTTCGGCAGTGGACTTCATAGGTTGTGATGGATGGATGTAAAGAAGGTAATCTACCAGGAGTACATGAACCACTGAGAGGTGAAATTATTAAATCAACAGTAACATTACAACTAAGGCAAAACTTTTCCCTATGAGGCAATCTATGCGGAGGCCTATGTTCGGCAGTGGACTTTATAGGTTGTGATGGATGGATGTAAAGAAGGTAATCTACCAGGAGTACATGAACCACTGAGAGGTGAAATTATTAAATCAACAGTAACATTACAACTAAGGCAAAACTTTTCCCTATGAGGCAATCTATGGGGGAGGCCTATGTTCGGCAGTGGACTTTATAGGTTGTGATGGATGGATGTAAAGAAGGTAATCTACCAGGAGTACATGAACCACTGAGAGGTGAAATTATTAAATCAACAGTAACATTACAACTATTAACATTTAAATTACGTGGTGGCTCCTTAATATTAGCTAATAAGTCCTTATCATGTAAAGAACGTAAAGACATTGTGAGCCTCTCTGTTGAGCGTACTGTAGAAATGGCATGTGTTGAGCTTGAGCACCTTATTGTTGTCAGTGTTTACAGACCCCCATGTTCAAGTTATGATACATTTGAAAAAATTATGGAAGAAGTTTTAGTTAAGCTTAATAAACAGAATAAATCTCTTGTAGTGTGTGGAGACTTTAATATCAATCTCCTGGAAACTTCTTCCATCAGTATTAAATTCTGTTCTTTGTTCAAATCCTATAATCTTAATAATTTATTCTTTGAAGCTACACGTATTGCAGGGTGTAGTGCAACTTGTATTGATAATATTTTTACAGGTGTTGTACCAATCAACAAATCAATAATACAAAAACTTAGTTCAGATCACTGTGGACAACTGGTTTCGTTACCTTATATGCACAAAAAACAGGTAAATGAGAAAATTGTGTTTGTTCCTATTAATGCAAAACGCCTGGAGAGATTTAGAAGTAATATGTTAAAAATCCTTCCATCCCTTTCTTATAAGAACAATGCAGACTATTTATATAGAGAATTATTTACCTTTATAAACAATGAATTTAATAAAACATTCACTTCTAAAACATTCTCCAGAAACAGTCGCAAGGCATTTAATGAGTGGGCGACAGTAGGAATTCATAAAAGCAGACGAAGGTTATATGACCTTTACCATGAAAGATCGTATAATCATTCCGATGCTTTTAAAGAATATGTAAAAAATTATTCTAAAA